TCTTCGACCTGAAAAATCAGGGGTTAGGATTTGCACCCGGTCGAAAGAAACCTTGCTATCGCAAGGGTAACTCCAGCTAGCTTCGCTAGCTTTCGTGATAAAATTGATTCGACCTGACCTCCCTCCAGGCCCTGACCAAAGGGACCCAGCAAGAGCACCCTACCCTCCCAGATTCTCTCCTGGATCTGCTGCTTCAGGACCTGGATCTGCTGCTGCGCGGGTCTTCGGACAAACGTTTCTTGTTCATTGACCACGTGAGATTCATCTAGAAGATCCGCCCCAAAACCTTGGCAGCCCCAAAAGAAAAAACACAGCAGCGCGGTGGGATAAATTGCTAGGCGGTCTCAAAATAGGTGCCGGTACCTTCCAAGCAAGCTCATTGGCTTTCGGGGAATGATGGACCCAAGCCTTGCAGGTTCCCAAGCCCTAAGACGGTCTTCTCTGTCCCTCATCTCCATCCTTGACTTACAAGATCTAAGAAGACTTGAGGCCAGGGGGAGAGGTCGAAAGCTAGCCGAATCGCACCGGATGTACTAGTTACATAGTCGGCAAAGCATGTAGGGATGACATGTTTTGGGAGGAAGGTTGCTATGTACATACTTTGCGCTAAAGAATGTAAATGTGACATCGCTGACTGGGAAGGGTACATTGGAACAACCCGGGTGCACTCGTTGGCAGGCACGAAGATGCGTGATCGGCAAATCTGGGGGGTAAATTTACCCTCCGCTTTTGTATGCCTTGAGTCGGAAAGAGGGGTAAGCATTTCTGACATCATACGGACTGTACATACACTAGGGCGTCCGTAGTGTAGGAGAAGCACGGGTAAAAGGTATATGGAATAGAGTGTCTTGAGGAAATAGCCGGTGTATGGTTATTGCAAATCTGGGGGGTAAATTTACCCCCCGCTTATGTATGCCTTGCGCTGGAAAGAGGGGTAAGCATTTCTGGCATCACAAGGACTGTGCATACACTAGGGCGTCCGTAGTGTAGGATAAGCACGGGTAAAAGGTAGAAGGAGTAGAGTGTCTTGAGGAAATAGCCGGCTTATGGTTATGGCAAATCTGGGGAGTAAATTTACCCCCCACTTATGTATGCCTTGAGCCGGAACGAGGGGTAAGCATCACAAGGACTGTGCATACACTAGGGCGTCCGTAGTGTAGGAGAAGCACGGGTAAAAGGTATCAAGAATAGAGTGTCTTGAGGAAATAGCCGGTGTATGGTTATAGCAAGCCTGGGGGGTAAATTTACCACCCGCTTATGCATGCATTAGGTTAGAAATAGGGGTAAACAACTTGTAACGGTGAAGTACAAGTCCTATGCAGCAAGCAGCAGCCAGCAGCAGCAGCAGCAGCAGCAGCAGCCGCCTGCAGCCAGCAGCCAGCAGCAACCACCAACCAGCAGCCAGCCAGCAGCACCACGCAGCAGCAGCGCAGCATCAAGCCGCAGCAGCAGCAGCACCACCGGCAGCAAGCACTACCGGCAGCAAGCAGCAAGCAGCAGCAGCAAGCAGCAAGCAGCAAGCAGCAGTAGCAGCGGCGTCGTCAGCAACAGCAGCAGCAGCACCAAGCCGCAACAAGTAGCAAAGCAGCAGCTACAAAAGCGGCAACCAGCGGCAGCAGCAAACAGCAGCAGCAAGCAGCAGAGCGGCAGCAGCAGCAGCACCCTTTACACCAAGCCACCGTTACACCCAACCAACCACGTTCACACGTTCAACCAACCCCCTACACGGCGCAGCTGGGAGTTGAACCGCGGGGGGGGGGGTTAGCTTGATATATCAATCTTTAAGGCACGCAGCCCCTCCCACCACAACATTGCTAAAGCAAAGAAGAACTCAGCTAGCATGCTAGCTTTCGTGACTAGCCTAGCAATACCATGCCTCACAGTCCCCAGCCTTGCACTGGTTGTCCAGGGTGATCTCCTCCAGCTCGGGTCGGATCTTCTCAGGCCGCCCCACCCGCACCGTCTTCACTTTCATCTCGGCGCGCAAGGAGAGAGCGCAGGCGCGGCGACCACAGTCGGAAGAGGCGAGAAGTGAAGCCACAGGGGGTTACTGAAGAGATGATGCCCCCCACGCGATCACACAGGCTGGTTCCCAACAGTCGCCCTGAACTTGAGGGCATGGCCAGCACGGCCGGCATGGGCACTACATGCATGCATGTAGGCTGCAGTCAAGCTTCGCCATACTTTGCAAGGCCAGCCTCGGTGAACTCGCAATGGTCCACTCGGTGCTTTTAGATATGTATGCAGGAGGTATTCCGGGTATTCTCCACCGAGATTTTCAGCGAGTCCTCCAACCCAGCATGTGACACCCACTCTGATCGAACATGACACCTCACCTCTCAGGGGGTTCTTCGCGAGATCCCAGTCGCCCCCGCCCCTCCGTCCGACCAGGTGGCTGCAATGTTGTCGACCGCGATGTTCCCATCGGCCACCGCCAGCAGCGGCTTCAGTCCCAGCTGCGCCCAGGAACGCAACACCTCGACGGCGGTGAAGGTCTTTCCAGTACCTCATGAAGCGTTCACGTGGCTCCGCCCAGCTCCAGCGGGCGAAATGGAAGCTACATGGTGCACTACTTGGATTCAGGGATTCTATCGACATGCACCTTGGCATCATCACCATGTGACTTCAAGGAAACCTATATAGTTATATTCAATAGCGATGGCCTCCAACCTAATAGCGGGCCGTGGAGATCCAAAAGAACAGGCCGAGCTCTCCGCACCTGGAGGTCCCTGGATCATCGTGCAGCGTCGCTGGAAGGTCGCACCGATCGCGCGCTTCTGCGCGTCGGTGCAACTGAGCGCCGCGAGCTCCTCTGCGGAGCTAAACGCACACCGGTGGCACACCACGAAAAGTGCAGCCAACCAAGACATACGGAAGGTACATACGGAGTAGTTAATTGAATGACCTCAAGTGGCATGCACCAGGAAGTGTCCACTGATAGCTCTTGAAAAGACATGTCGCCGCCCGCAAAAAGCTCAGATTGCAGACTAGTCTAGTTACTATGGGCAAGTTACTTTCACGATTTTCAATATATATACCCTATATAATCTTCAAAGGCTAAGTTTAACTTCGACGTTGTTTCTGTCTATGTTTAACCAGGTTAAACTTCGTCGTTCTGCGGAGTCTGTTCTGTTTAAGACAACTAACATGAGTAAAACTTAGACTCACTGAGGTGTACAAGTTTAACTTCGACGTTTCTCATTGGCTAAGTTAAACTGCGACGTTGGAAGTTCTGTGTGTATATATATATATACACAGTATATGGATGTCATCACGCCCTTGAAGGCCCTTGAATCATTGAAGTCACATGGAAATTGGACAAATGGAAGATGTTCCTCCCCAGGTGACGCCAGGAGCCTCAATCTACTCTGGTTCGATCCACTGGTTGGAGCTGCCTTTGTCTAAAGGCGAAACAAGACCCATTCGACATGTTCACCTCCTCTGCCAGGAAGGTCGCACTCCTCCTGACACTTGGACAGCTTCTCTGCGTCCGCCGGCAGCGCCTCTGCTGCCAACTCCACTGAGGCTGAAGCGATGGCTGCAGGGACAAACGCGGCCTGCGCGTCCACCTGAGGCACTCAAGGCTGGTGGCATCGAAAGGTGGCCAAACAAACCTCCAAATCATCCAAATCCCAACAAAGCTGCCCCAAAAAGAGTCTTCGGACCCTTCCCAAATCGTGCCAGACCTTCTCCAAGTGAACGACCTGCACCGCCTTCACCCCATCCTTCAGCTTTACATGCGCGCGCGGCGGCACCGACCCGGAGGCAAGCACCCGGCCATCAACGGCCACCAGTTCGCCTGGCGCGAGTTCACAAGACCACTTAGAGGCTTGGGGTGGCAGTGGCCTTTATCGGCCCACCGTCTTGAGAAAGAAATGTCATCAAACCACGCAATATTCCTCCATCTGTTCACAGTCCCCTGCCACGTGCCTTCTTGTCCATTCAGCGCCTCCGCCTTCAGCCCGCACAGCCGCACCTTCTGCCCCTCCACCCACAGCCCATCCGAAACCTTCGCCGTCGTCTTCGCCGTCGTCTTCGCCGTCGTCAAAGGATCGGTCCAATGGGCAGTCCAGGCATCCACGTCTCCCACGTTGGCGCGGGTGATGAGCTCAAAGATCTTGGGGCGATCAGCTCCGCCCTGAGGGCAAACGGCGAGGCCGCAAGCACGCAAGCGCATGCGCAAGCGCAAGGGTGGGCATGACAGCTACGGGTTGGAAAAGGATGCCCTGCATTATTAACCCCATCCCTCTATCATGCAAGAATCGGAAGCAAAATGGATGCAGGCGGCCTAATTGTCCGCAAGATGCAGGCGGTCTCCACTCCCGTTTTGGATTTAATCAAATTTAATCCAAGCTGCTTTATAGACACCACCCCTTTCAGGCCCCTCCCTACGATCGATCAACTGTTCACGAGGTCGGGTTGGGCGGAACCGAACCGCCGCCTCCTTGCAAAGCGTCACCAAGGAGCTCATCTGGCGAGTATAGCTGAGGCGATTGCTGCCCTTGTCCACGCGATAGGCACGGCCCTTCGATGGGACGAAGGAGGCGCCCTCCACGGCGATGACGAGCACCGAAGGATTCAGCTCTTGCAACTGGGCAGGGGCGGGGTGACCGGTGGCAGCTCTGGCGGGATGACAGACAGCGACTTCCGAGGGTCATTCATCGCATCAGTTCCTTCTTCTGATTGTTCCTCCTGTTCTGGAACCTGTTCTTCTTCTGTGGAAGACTTTTAAAACCAATTTTTGTTAAACTCATTATCTGACGTAAAAATGTTCAGGAGTTTTACCAAAACGTTTTTTTTCATATCCTCAAAGATTGTTCTTAATTCTTAATCATATCATACGTATAAAAACATCCCTCCCACTGAAGGAGAAAAAAGAAGCTGGCTCCTGGACTCCTGTGAGGGTTCCTTCAGTTGGGTCGGATCAAAATTGGCTTCGGTTGTTCTTTTCATACACCCCGCCTGACCCTCGCCCACGCGGTCTTTGAGGGGGGTGCGTTCCGGAGAGGATCACACTGTCCCCACGCTTGAAGCGCAAGCGATCAATGTCGATCTTGGGAGACTTGGGCATCATCAGGGTGATCTGAAAACCGCTGTCGCGACCCTTGCCTCACGCCAGGCAACGCTGGACAAGGAACTGCCAAGGATTCGTCAGCCAACTGGGGCCGAGTTGCACGTTCTCGTCCACGTTCTCTAACTTAGCCTATGGATTGGAGCTCATCCCCTTAAATCTAGGAAAGCTCGGGTAGGACCACATCATTGATGTTGCACCCTCATGATCAGAGGCCAAAATGTTGACACCCGGCCTTTCTCCTTCCCTTTGCCCTTGCCCTTGGAGATGTCCATGGCTTGCAAGTTCACCAGCGCCCACCCCCCGCGCTGCAACTCCTCACCGGAACGCTTGGAGGTGCGCCGACGTAGAGCGGCCACCTGGCGAATCCCCCCCACTCCGCGTGCCGAGCACTCCCAGGCCGTGTCGTCCTCGTTTCGTTGCCCGAAACACCGCCTCCACAAAGTACTCTAGGTGGAGCAGGGCGCAAAAGTGGCCAAAATACTTCCCACAGGCCGCGCTCGGCGCTGCCACACGGTTCCTCAGCTTCTGCAAGTCCAAGCGCTTCAAGGCCTCGACTGAGAGGTCCTCCTGCGCAAAGTGCCAGTAACAGGTGGTGTGGGAAGATCTCCCCAACAACAGTCCATATACGCGCTGGGGCACGCAGAAGCTACAAGCAACATCCTGCACTCAACCCACCAGCACAGCACCTTCCCGTCGCCATGGGGTGCCGGATCTAGAAACAACACAAGAAGCAAAATCTAAGTTTCAGTGGCCCCAGGGTGGCTAGGGATAGGCAAACAGGAACATTGCAACCTGCCACTCGTTCGCTACAGAAACCTTGATGCTTTTTTCATGTCTCAACTGTGAAAGATGTTTACCGGCCTGTGAGGCGAAGCCTCCAGCATCTTCCCGGAACTCCTTCTCCCCTTTCCGCTTCAGCCGCCATCCCTGGAGAGGCGGCACCTCATCCTCGCTGGCACAGGAGCCCAACAGCCCAGCCTTGCCACCCACCTGCGAGAGGCGAAAGGCTCCCGGCAACAAACGAAAGTCTGATTCCTGAAAGACTTGGCCCTTACAAAACCGAAGTTTCTTTGGCGGATGGAGATGCCATGGTTTGCAAAAACGCTTGCTAAACGCGAAAAAGCGCAGCTACCTCATCAACCCTGACCTGGGTGCCCAGCCACCAGCCACCCTGTTTTTTCTTCCGCTTCTTCATCTTCTTGGCCCCCTGGCGTCCAAGGCTTGAATGGGTTGATTGGATTGATTCAAGCTCTTGGCAGCAATCAACACCAAGCCAGCAGTCCATGGCAGTCAAAGAGAGACTGAAAAGGAACAGTGCTGTCACCACCTATGCTTGCCATGCCCAAATCTGATCTCCCTGCCTTCTTTGGGCCACTTTGGGCCCCAAAGTCCCAGAAGAAGCACAGCACCCGGAGCTCTTTGCCATCGGCGCTCGTGACTCGGCGCTGGTAGATCGGCCGCTCGTGCGGGCTCAGTTGGTCGAAGTCACGCGTCCGCAAAAAGGTGCCGTTCAGCTCCGGCCAGGCTTCGCAGCCCCGAAACACCAACTCCTGGAGCTCTGTCTGCGAGCTCGTCTCGTCCGGTGGGGGGGGAGGAAGTTGAAGTAGGTTGGAGGCCATTGCTGTTAGGTTGGACTTACCTTCACGTGGCAACCCGGCATGTTGTCTCAGCTCCTCAGGCCACTCTGCACCTCCGGCATCCTCCTCCGCCTCCTCTGTCTCTTCTTCTTCCTCCTCACCTTCTTCTTTCAGAACATCCTGCTACGGCCGCAGGGTGGCGGACACGGTTGAAACCCTTCCTACCAATAAAAGCAATATAAAATAGTTTGCACAATCTGCACCTGCAGTTCCACCTTCAACCGCAGCAATGTGAACAAGTGCGTGAACCGAACAAAAACGAGGCCAACAAAAACCTTCAAAACTCCACCCCAAGCCACCCAACCTTTTCTTCGTGGCGTGGCTGTGCCTGAGCCAAAACACACCGATGCCCAGCGCAAACACCTTTTCAAAGGAGTAAACCTGACCTCGCACATGTTAAACATGATGTAGCCCTGTGTCCTTTGCACTAGCCTTTGGTCCTTCTGTAAGTGCAGGCCATTGGACCCAAGCTATATAGTTCCACCCAAAAGTCCGAGCAGCATCTCCCAACAAAGTTTCGCGTGCTTCAGCTTCGGTCAAGGACTCGGGCACTAATGGCACAATGGGGCTCTCCTCAAAAAGCCACGGCAAGGACCGACACAATGAATTTCTGCCTCTGTTTCGGGCACATACACACACGGCAAAGTGATTGTGAGGAGCACTAGAATTGTGTCAAAACATGTCAAAACCGTCGACCTCCTAAGTCCACAACGTCGAAATCAGCATGCATAATGTTGGGCGCTGATTAGTAAGAGGCCATCTATAATGCAAAGTGTGTGAAAAAGTAAAAAGTATTTACAATACAATCAGGTTACAAAAGGAACCCTCCTAGGAACCCAGATTTGTTTTGGTGGTAGCTTATTTTAGATGATCCCTCATTGTTTTGAGGGGGTGACCCCCCTTTACTAATCAAGATCCAACATTAGGTGTGACACCATCCAATGACGAGAAACCGGCGACCTGGTTGACCTGAAACAGCCTGAATATTAGTGTAACAGCTTGAATGGCATCATGGTCAAAACTCAGCAGGTACGTCATTTCTGCCGAGTTTAACTGATATCCCCACCGTGCATTGCCAGCTTCGTTGGTGGAGAAGCAATACAGTTGTTTCCACCCCCTGCTTAGACATATAATCGACTGCACTAGTCGAGGTCACTGAACGATTCAAGTAACTTAGACACTCCATTTCTACAGCAGTAGTCAGATTCACTCTATAGCCAGGCATGAAACAGGTCAACTCAAGTGGTTTGATCGCAATGCAAACTCGGCCCGCTTGTGCTAGCGGTTTACACAAAATATTCATCTAAGACAAGTCGTATCTGCTGTCATCAAACGGCTGAAACAGCCGAGCGTTAGAAACTACTAACAGCGGGCCGTACAGACCTAAGCCAGCTGCGCTGGTTTAGCGTAGTTGCCGGGGTTACGGGGTTAATCCGAGGCATCTGCGCGGTAAAAACGGTAAAAAACGAAAATCTTATTTTTTACCGTTTTTACCGGGGAGGCGCCACTTTTTTTCCAGCATATCCGCGGTAAAAACGGTAAAAATCGATTCTGTTTTACCGTTTTTACCGGGGGGAGCTTCCTTTTTCAATACCATATCCGCTATCAAAACGGTAAAATTAATTGTTCTTTTTGTACTGTTTTGATCGAGGGGGGCAAACGGGTCTATGTTTTTTTTGATTTTAATGGAGGGTCACCGCTGTTTCTTTTGCCATATCCGCGGTAGGTATCGAAAGTTTTCGATCCAAGTGATGTAGGCTTTCATTGCCCTGCAAAAGTTAAAAGTCATGAAATTTTGATCAATCACCAAATTCCTCTTGTCGAAAAGGGCACACGCTCCTATATGATAGGAGGAGTGAACCCCACCTGGTTATAGGAAGATACCCGGGCTGTAACATTAAACCTTTTTGTTGACAGAGGTCTTCTAGCTTGCGACCTGGTCCCGAGGCATTCTCGCGGTAAAAAACGGTCCAAAGTGAAAATGACTACTTTTGTTGTTTACCTTTTTTAATGAAGAGTCGCTTGCTCTTTTTGCTTCTACCATATCGTTAAAAATCAAAGTTGTGTTATTCTCCGTTTTTGTAGGTGCACTTGTCTTTTTCTTTTCTACCATCTCCGTGGCAAAAACGGTAAAAATCTTTGTTTTTAATCTTTTTTACTGGGGGGCGCTCCATGTTTAAATTTCATATCCGCGGTAAAAAGAGTAAAAATCGAAAAATTTCGTGTTTTACCGTTTTTACCGGGGGGACGCCCCTTTTTCTCTACGATATCCGCGGTAAAAACGGTAAAAATCGATGTTTTTTACCCTTTTTCCTGCGGGGTCGCGAAAGGATACCCCTTAGCAAAACAACGCTTGCGAACCAGCTTAGAAGTAATCGAGACTGTACCTGCCTGTTGGCGTTTTGTATCCTGAGCAACTGCATCCTGAGTACCCTCTGTCGATCCTGAGTACTCCAGGACCTATGATCCTGAGTGGGTTGATTGTTTGGCCTGAGTGAAAACCCACTTGTGATTGCAGACGGGGACTGATTCGCGAAACTTCCTCAGTTGTCAGGCTTCTTTAGGCTCCCCGGATCAACAACGGTGAATCCTAGAAAGGGGAGGGCTTCCTCGAACCAAACGATGGTGAGAAAGAGACCACGCTGCGAAACATCCTCAGTGGTCAGGTTTCTCATTAGCTTCTCCGGTTCAACAATGGTAAAGGGAGAGGGCCTTCCTCGAACCAAACCAAGGTGACTATACTTGATGCTAAAGCCAAAAAGTAAAGCATGGACTATGTGGTTTCCCGCAGGCGCTCTCAAATTGAATTTTCGCGAAGGAACTTCAGCAACTGCTGTCGAAACAAACGTGCTCGCAGCAAGCTCTAGAACGGCTCCCTTGAACCGCGAGCTTGTGCGCGAGGCAGTTTTTATCACCACTCTTGGTGATATGGGTTGGGTGGATTGGGTAGGGTTATTGTGAGGAGGGTTAGAATTGTGTCAAAACATGTCAAAACACCCTCGACCTCCTAAGTCCACAACGTCGAAATCAGCGTGCATAATGTTGGATGTTGATTGGTAATAGGGCCCTCTATAATGCTAATTTATTGAAAAATATGTTTTGACACCATGTTTGTTTTAAGGGTTCTCTATTATGCTAATTTTTTGGGGTGAACCAAAACTTTGTTTTTTCTGAAAAATTGCAGGTTCAAATCCTGCGGAAATCTGTGAATACTACTAAGCCAATAGCTGGCTTGCTCAGAGGGTTGTTGGTATTCATGTCCCTTTGGTTCTTCAAAACTCACAACTTCCCAAAACCATCAATTCCATAATCAAACCTTTATATAAAGATTGCTCCTAAACAAACTTTCAAGGTAGTAGACCAGGAAGGCCTCTGATCCTCAATAATAAACTTGCTTTGAGGGTTCTCAATTGTGCAAAGTTTCTCCTCAGAAAAAAGATCTTAACACTATTAGCCAATGGCTGGCTTGCTGAGAGGATTATTGATTGTCAGGAGTTTCTTTGGCCCTTCAAAACTCACAACTTCCCAAACTCACCAATTCCATAATCAAACCTTTATATACTGATTGTTTCTAAGCATGTTTTTCAAGGTAGTAAACCAGGAAGGCCCAGGAAGGCCGCTGATCCTCAATAATAAATTTGCTTTAAGGGCTCTCAGTTGTGCAAAGTTTTTCCTCAGAAAAATAGACTAAATACTACTAAGCCAACGGCTGGCTTGCTGAGAGTATTCTTGCTGAAGATCTGAGACTACAAAGGAAGAGGGTTGCTGAGAATATCTGATTACAAACCAGCTGAGAAAGGAAAATGAATACTACAATCAATTACAAAAGGAATTCTCCTAGGAACCCAGATTTGTTTTGGTGGTAGCTTATTTTAAATGATCCCTCATTTGTTTGAGGGGGGACCCCCCTTTACTAATCAAGATCCAACATTAGGTGTGACACCATCCAGTGACGAGAAACCGGCGACCTGGTTGACCTGAAACAGCCTGAATATTAGTGTAACAGCTTGAATGGCATCATGGTCAAAACTCAGCAGGTACGTCATCTCTGCCAAGTTTAACTGATATCCCCACCGTGCATTGCCAGCTTCGTTGGTGGAGAAGCAATACAGTTGTTTCCAACCCCTGCTTAGACATATAATTGACTGCACTAGTCGAGGTCACTGAACGATTCAAGTAACTTAGACACTCCATTTCTACAGCAGTAGTCAGATTCACTCTATAGCCAGGCATGAAACAGGTCAACTCAAGTGGTTTGATCGCAATGCAAATTCGGCCCGCTTGTGATAGCGGTTTACACACTTAGGATAGGGTGTACTGAACTGAAGGCGGTGCCACACGCCAGCCTTGGTTACCATTTCCTAAGAGTACAAGTACGAGCCACTGAAGCCTGGGGGTCTTCAAAAGGAAAGGAGTCCAAAGTCGTAAGTCGAGATCGGGACGACAGGTTGACAACGGTCGCTCACAACTGCGGAGTGCGTGACGGAAGCTTAAAAAATTTGACGCAGGTACGTCGGCGAGCGTCCCCACCGATATCAGTGTTCAATGCAAGCCTCTTCGTTGGGCTGGTACTTGTATGAACAACCAGCCCCCTTGCTTATTAAAAAACGTGGTCAAACATACAATCCAAACGGATCCCTGTGACTACAAGGGGCACACACACACTCAAGATGGAGCACGTGCGGTTTGAATGCGACACCATCCATGAAGACCTCAAAGAAAACAATGCATCACGCCGAGCGCAAACCGATGCAAAAGGACTCAAAGGCTGGCAGAAATGTTCCAATTACCAGCAGGGACCAAAAGCTTGAGATCTGCCACTCACAAACCCAGGCGCGATCAACACAAGCACGTTATCACGACGACTTAGATGGGTCTTCGTTGGCTCGTGCCATCTATGCCTGCACGAGCCCCCTGCTAAAAGGTCAAGAGGTTCCATTTCAAAAACACACGTGTGCACAGACGACAAGTGAACAAACAAACGTGACAAACATGAAGGAAGGACATGAAGCAGGCACGCAACGAGAAAGAAAGAAAGAAAGAA